GTATTTCATTTTAATAATAGTGTTAAGTGGCAAATAAATAATCAAATGTCAATAATATGTTAGTTGTTTCATATTTAATATGAATTATGATTAGCAAATGAATATAATATTAAGAATAATATTTAATTGATAGTCTCACCTATTAAATAATATTATTTCTTATGATTAAATGTTTTTATAAGAAAAACAAAAAAAGATTCTCAAATGAATATTCATTTTTTTCAGACATTTATCATTTATTGAAGTAAAAAATAATTTTTAATACGTTTTATTTATTGTTAGATCAACAAATAAACCAACGATAGAAAATAGCAAACAACCAAGAATAATAATTGTTTCCATTTTCATCATTAATATTATTTGAATTAAAAAGCTAAAATCACTTTTTTTTCTGTTTTGTTTTTACATTGTATTTTGATTTTGTCGGTAGTAAACTAATACAGATTAAATTTGTTGTTCGACACTTTGATAAACAAGAAAAAGTCAATTATTTTTTTCCGAATAAAGAAATAATATCGAAAATAGTTATGTATTATTCATCCAAGAGAATAAAATTTATTATTAAATATCTACTATTATTGTACATAATTAATTAGTTATTAGTTATTATTATTTGTTGATCTTAATGTTTAATAAATATGATATGAACATAATATTCAGTTGAAATAATTATCTTTTATAATATATGATAATAAAAGAGTCTCATTTTATAATATATATATATATATCTATTAAATCGATCTGAAAAACCAATCGTAGTAGTCAATCAAAATATAATATTCATATAAATGAACCTTTACTAATTAGACTTGTCAGTTAATATTTAATGACATATGATCAGTCAAAAAAAGTGGAAAATATGCTATTTAGATATGTCAAACATTTAAAATTGTTTCTATATAGATCGAAACATATCTGTCAACTTTTTGTTTATTTGCTTTTTCTCGAACGATTTAATTAAAAGATAAAATGCGAAGAAACAGTATTAAAATCAATACCTAATAATAATATCAATATGTTAATTGCCAAAATTGCTGAAAATAAAGGACAATAATTATATGGAACAAAAATCCTTGGAAATATTTATTAAGGTTTCTCATGTAAAAGAATTATTTTCTTAGATTAAATCTTTAATTATATTTAAATAATAAATTTTGATCACATCGTTGATAATGTTGCATTTAATAATATATCTTGATTGTTCGTTAATAATATAATAAGAAAAACAAAAAATGAGCATCATCGAACCATGACTAATTATATCGTAGGAAAATGAATAATCATTCTATCAATATTATTCGTTAACTACGTTCTATGACGATTTAATCATTTAGTAAATAAATAATGAATTTTATTTTATTTTATTTTATTTCAATTATTTTACTAAAAATTTCCATATAGAAGAATATTTTTGGACAAACGTTAATTAAAATAAAATGGTCACATCTCAATTTTTATTAATAGGAATAGTATTTTTCAAAATGATACCTTTTTTTTTTAATTTTTAGTTCGAGACATATATACCAAGAAAATTTCCTATCAATGGTTTATTTATTCAATAGGAATATATTATATTTAAACATAAGAAAACAATAAAAATAGTCATTCAACAAAATGAAATCATTTTAAAATAAATAAACATTAAAGATTTTGAAAAAATGATTTAAAAATGCATGTGCTTCTATCAAAGATCTTAGAAATAAGCTTGACAATAAAATAAACATATTATATATGAGAGCAATATTGAAAACAAGTTTTCATGATAAACAAATTTGTTTACATGAATGTATCATCAAAGAACAAGAAAAAGATAAAATCAAATAAAGCCTCATTTTTCACATGATGAGTAGGAGTCAAAAACATCAATCAGTCATATATTGTACTTGAAGGTACAAATTCCAGGAAAAAACAAAAAAAAAACGATATAAAAGAGTATGTATAATAGATTCTATCTCATTTAATCTTGAGTCAGTAAAATATATTCTATTTTGAAGATAAATTTATTTCCATTAAGAAATGTTTCGAAAAAAATTTATTGAACAAATAAAAAAAATTTTCGTTTTAAATAATCCAAATACAAGAAAAGAATTATATGATGGTCAATCATTTGCTTTTGCTGGAATGCAAGGATGGAAAACATCAAATGAAGATTTTCATAAACATTTAGTGCCAATTGATGATCAAATATGGAAACTTTGGTCTTATTTTGCTATTTTTGATGGACATAATGGTTTAAAAAAACAAAAAAAACATTATTTTATTTCGAAATCAATTAATATTTATTTTTATTTTAATTAGGAACTGATACAGCAATAAATGCAGTTAATCTTCTTGATAAATATTTAATTGATGCATTTAATCAAGTTGGAAATAATCCAAATAATGAATTAATTCATACATCTAGTTTTCATCGAAATCAATTATTTTTTTTTATTAAAAAGAATTTTCTTCAATTAGATAAACACTTATCAAACTTAGTTAATGATCAAAGTGGATCTGTTTGTGTAAATATATATATATATTAATTAAATAATATTTTAATTAATAATTATTTTAAAAAATTTAGATATCATGTTTAATTGGACCAACATATATTTATTTAATTAATCTTGGCGATTCTCGTGGAATAATTATTTCAAATGATGGACAAGTATTAACATCTACTAAAGGTTAAATTGATATTTATTTTCTATATTTCTATATATAATTATTTAATTTAAGATCATAAACCAAATGTTGAACAAGAAGAAAAACGTATTAAAAAAGCTGGAGGAAGAATAACTCATTTTGAAAATGATGTTCCACGTGTTGAAAGTAAACTTGCTGTTAGTCGAACATTAGGTGATTATTCATTAGATAAACATTTAATACCAGCTTCACCTGATATAATTCAATATTCAACAAAATCTTTAGCATCATTTATTATTATTGCTTGTGATGGTATTTGGGATGTTATGACCAATGAACAAGTTGCTTCATTTGTTTCTGAAAAAGCAATAAATACATCAATTAAAGATATAGCATCACAATTATTAGATCATTGTTTTAAATTAGGAGCTACCGATAATATGAGTATTTATATTATCAAAATTTAAAATATAGATTATATATTTATATCGAATCAATTTTAACTTTTTCTTTTATCTTTTCATAAATTAAAATATTTATTCGACTTTTTTTTCTTCGTTTTTTGTACATAAATAAACATTTGGATTTGTTATTTCATTAGAACTTTTCTTCCATAAATAATTTAAATGACATATTTGAAAATATTGTTATCAATGATCAAATATTTTCTTGATTTTTCTTTCTTTTTACATTTTAATCAAATTAAAATTTTATTGAAAGAAAAAAATTATTTTCATTATTCAAGTATTTATCAATTTATTCATTTGATTAAATCATAGAAGATAACAATTACATAATCAATATATCGAACAATAGAAAATACATACACTAAGACGATTTTAATCATGCTAGAAAATATTGTTCATGAACATTTAACATTTGAAAATTTATTTATTCAATTAAGAAAATCTATTGAGCTAAATTAGGTTCAATTATATTTAGAAATAAATTCACATTAAATATATTTTATATTTATTTGATAGATTCTTCATTTTTCATTATCAAATATTTAAAATAATGAATGGACATCAGGTATCAATACTTAAAAAGATTTCATCAGATTTCAATTGACTTGTTCACTCTTGAAAATACTTAATCAGATTCGAATATAGTTTAATATAAATCGAATCTATTATTTTCTTCCTTATTTCATTTATTAATAGATAGCAAAAATCTTTTATCTCCAAATAGATTATATATCTATCGAGATCCTGGATCTCTAGCTTCCTGCCAAGTTTGTCCCTTCGATTCTTCATGATCCCTGTTTTGAGGATCGCTGACGGTTGGACAAGGTCTTGATCATGATTTGTTCAGATTCCTGCCCATGTTTATTCAAAAATTATCAATGTAAGATCCTAGACGGTTTCATTCTTGATCCTGTTCAAGATCCTTACAGGATTAAAAGAAAGATTCTCTCAAAAATTTATCAAGTTATAGACAGAATATGATCGAAACTCTGACACAAGGATTAAATCAACTACTATTGCTAAATCAGATGTGAATCTTAGCAAGAACCCAACAGGAGGTCGTATCAGTGGCTTGGACAGTAAGATGAACCTGTATTCATAGCTACAACTACATCTTGTTTCGTGAATAATTACTGATTCAAAAAACAAGTCGTAAACTGCTAAGGAACCTGATCGAATCCTGTTTCAGATCCTTCACTTCTTCGTACTTGTTGATAGTTCTATACTTGAGAAGTAGAAAAGTACGCTTTTTCCTCTTGGATTGAAATAAAGAGAAGAGTTACTTAAACGATTAATTCTGATTATCTATTGTTAATCAATAATATCTATAAAATAGGGAAGTTTTTTTTTGTTGACAATAATATTAATGACAAAAAAATATTGATATGAATTAAAAGGAAATATATTTATCAGAACAAAATAAATGAAGAAAGTTGAATTAAGAATATATATGACTAATTATTGTCTTTGAAATATTATTGATAAATGTCTCGATTTATTTTGAATAATGAACAAAAAAAAAATGAAAAGATTTAAATTATTTAATGAAATAAAATCTCTTATGAATATTCATCAAAAAACATTTTAAATAAAATAAAAATATTTTGTTTTTTTTATTGTCAAACACTTATTCATAATTGATATATTTAAATAAACAATCTTAACAATTGACTTTAAAAATTTTTCTAATAAATTTCGTATGGAAATTAAATTTTGTTCATTAAATATTCGATAATTATTGAAAATAATAATAGATAATGGCGACATGGAAAATCGATCGATTGTTGTATGTTTTAATTGATTGGTTTAAAGTAAAAGGCGTTCACGATATTTTTCCGTTGTTTAATAGAGAAAAACATATTAGAAGAGGTTTTATGCATAGAAACATGTTATATTTAGTATTGAATGATGGCGAATAATGAAAATAAAATATATTTCGATGATAATATAAATCAAATAAGAATAATTGATATTCGTAAATATTTAAAAGAACATCCATTATTATCAAAAGTTGTTGGTGAAAATGAAATATTATTTGAATGTGGTTCAGTAGCTCCTTCACCATCAAAAGATTATGGACAAATAGAAATTAATTTTGATGAAGTAAGTTATTTAATAAATATATCTTAATATATGAATTTATTATTATTTAATAAAGGTTATACTTCGATGGTGGAAAATAACTCTTCGAAATATTGAAGGTTCAATATATCCATGTCAATTAATAAATTCTTATCAAGACTTTTATTATGATGATATAGCTCATCGTGAAATAGTTCGAATATTTGGAAAAAATATTCTTGATTATTGTTTAAATATAATATCTGGTAATATTGATTGGTTTAAATATTTACCATTAAATATTAAAATAAAAATATTTTCATATGTTAATATTGATGATATTCCACATATATCTCTTGTATCAAAATTATTTCGTTCAATATCTCGTCATAATGATCTTTGGAAAATCTATTATATACGTCAACATGGTTATAAAATTTTAAAAAATAATTATTTTATACATTTAGCTCAATTATATGGTTGGCGTCGTCTTTTTTTTACTAATAGATTAAAATTACAAATGGAATTACGTCGACAAGCTTTATCACAAATTTATCATCAACAACATAAATTAGATTTCGATAATATACGACAACATCGAATACAATTTAAAACAAATTCATCAACAATACAAACTGAAGAACAAGAAGAAAAAGAACAAAAATAATATTTATATAAACATCAGTTATTGACAAGAATTAAATCGAAATAAATCTCGTTAAAATAAGATTTTCTTAAAGATTATTTTCACCATGTTTATTTAAATTATCACTTTGAATAAATCTCATATAAACATTATCATAATCGTCATTCACGTCTTTTTATTATCTCTCAATAGAAATATTTTTTTTCTTTTTAACTTCTTTATTGAAAAACTTTTTATCATTTAATTAATTGATCAGACAAATAATAGATCTTTTTTCGTTTGACATTTAACATTTGTAAAAAGAAAAACATTTCTATTGATTTGTTTGATGTTTATATGTAATAAAAAATTTAACTTGAAATAAATCTTTCAAAGTTTCGACATAAATACAAATGAAATTTTCTCATTGAAATAAATCACTTATTTTATTTATATTTTATTCAATGAATCAAAATCGTTTTAGGTTAAAAAAAAATCGAATAAAACGACGTTTTATATATGATTATTAATAATAAAAATGGCTCATGAAATATAACTAAGATGATTTCTATTGTAAATAAGTATGATAAACCATTGACTATTGAAATTTTTCTTTAAAGTGTTAATATTAAAATAAGAATGAAATATTTGTTTTATTAAAAATATATAATGTTGATCTTTTTTATTTATTTTTATTCAAATTCATCAAAGAACAAAAAAAAAAAAGTCATATTGACATATTAAATTAAGTCATAATCAAACACTTTTATTTATTCAGATGAAAATAAAAAATCTTTTTTGTTTCTTAGAATAATATTTCAATCGCAAAAAAAATTTGTTTTTAATTATTATTTTATATAAATATATGGATTTTATTGAAGATCTAAAATAATTGTTCCTGTTTGATGTAAAATTTTTGTAAAATAATAATTATATTCTTAATAAAAATAGATAAACAGTAGAATCTTGACATATTGAAAGATAACCATTTGAACTAACTACTAAACTATTTCTCTAAATGATTTATCTTTATGTAATTGAATGAACAACGATTGGAAATATTTTATTTCATTTTCAAATTAATAATTCTACCGATAATACTCTATGTTTTCGATGTCTAATTTATTCTCATTAATTTAAACAGAAAGATAAAATTTGTCAAACTATTGAAGATTTACAAATTTTTTCCCAATGTTTTTTAAATGATAAATTTTTTAGAGATAAATATCTAAAATGTTTTTTATTGAATTTATTTTTTTGTCTCTTAATAGAGTTTTTTAACAATTGAAATCGAAGATAGGTTTCTTATTTATTGAATGCAAAGAGAGATGTTAAGGTGATCGAGGTTTTCAATCTGCATTTTTCTCCTATATTCAACGTTAATATAATTCATTTAGTTCACTTAAAACGATTAATAATCAATTTAATTATTCATTGTTATAATGTTTTTCTAAATGAAACATTTATTTTTACTTTTTCCATGAAGATTTTTAAAAGTAAAGATGTTGAAAGTAATCTTTGTTTTTCGTCGACTGTACTATGACAAAGAATAATTTTATTAACCTTAATTTAACCTACTCTGTAGAACATATAGTCTTACCTTATCCTATATAGTTTTCTATGTGACTTTATCTTAATCCTATGTCAGTTTCAAGAGTCTAATAATAATCAATAGGAAAATAGTATCAGACTAATTAATAGATGTGTAAGATAGACTGGTTTTTCGTAATCTGACTAAAAAATATGTTCTAATCGTTTTCTTCTGCTGCAAGTTTTTCTCATTTATTGATAATATGCTCTTTAAAGGTGACTGTCGAATACTTTTTGACTATCTAGTTGTTCGAACGAATTTTTTACCGTAAATATCGTTTTATTGTTCTGTCTTTATTGAAAATAAAGTTATTTTATAAAAAAAATCTTTGACATATAACTAATAAGGAGAAAATAAAAAATGATTGAAGTTTGAATGAAAGAAAACAAAACATTTCTTTCATATCTGTAATAAAGATATTTTAAAAAATTGCTTGGAAAATCGATAATGTCTATTGTTCTATAAATAAAATAAAATAACAACAAACGATTGCTTGAGTTATTTAAAAAAAACACTGTTTTCAAAATGATAAATTTTAGTCAACGGATAATGAAAAAAAGTTTTATTTTTGACGAATTTTAGCGTTATCAAATAATAGTTAGAATATTGTTAAACAATTTTTAATTCGATGATTTATTAGTTGAAATAGATTATTTTAATCAATTATTTTAATATGAAGCAAAAGAAAATAAATATTTTAGATTGAAAAGAACGAACAATATTGATAATATAACAATTTTAATCAATTAATATCATTTCCTAAATGAAATACATTGAACAAAAAAAAGAAAACAAATCTTTTCTTTTTGTAAACTGTTTTGATGAAACGAAATAAACTGTATTCAAAGTAAATATTTTAGGATAAAAAAATCTAAATAAATGATTTATGAAATAGATCTTAGTCAATTTGATTTATTGAAATAAAATAATTTTAAATATTTTCGTTTGATAAACAATATCTTCTGATTCGAATCTTGCTTAATTTATTGGTTTTTGTTGTGTTATTATTAACGTTTATCTACAGGAAAAATGATCGATCGGCTTAAAAAACTGTTGATCCTGCTCCTGTCTCCTCTTAATGACAATGTTAGTTTGTTGAATAAAGACCTGTTGATAATCTAACATATGATATGTTAAATAGTCGAATAAAATTTGTGTACGAAATGATAAAAAGGCTATTTATTAAAGAATGATTATTATCTTACCGTATGCGGTCGTGATAAAATGCATTAACAAAATAACTTAACAAAGAAAAATGCTAAAAACGATAATGATGAAGTTAAATTAATCTAAGAGAAAGTGAATATATATAAAATAATTTGTAAAAAAAATCATTTTTTTTTGTCATCTCGAAAAACTGTCAACAATAACACATTCTCAGTGGTTTTTTTCGCTCTACAAATATAGGTTAGTATTATTCTGTTAACTTTCTATTATTGATAATTGTATACGTGTCAGAATAAGAGAACTATAAAAAAAAATGACTCGATTATCAAAATAGATTCTTTGTTTTTGTTCTTTTTTCTTTTTTCCTTTTCTTCGATAAAAGAGGTAGCAGCACAGCCCGTTTCTATGAATGTTATATATCTACATTGTAGTTACGTATATCTTCTCCTTTTATTCGCATTAGTTATTCTACTAATGATATGATAACGATACGAGGCTAACAAACATATTTAGAGATCTTTTATTCAAATGACCGATTAACAATCAGCTTATATTGATACTCATTTAGAATATTTATAATATAATTGTTGTTTTTTCATCATGATTATTCTTTTAAATAAAGGTATATTTAATTAATGTAGTTTTAGTTTTTTTAACACGTAAATTGATAAAATAGAATAAAAGTTGAGTTAATTTAATAAATAAATGAATATAATTAATATTTAGATAAATAAAAAAATGTCAAGTAAAGTAAATGAAAAAAGTCTTAAAATTTATACATCTCAACCATGGGAATTGGGAAAGACATGTTTTCTATTATTAACATGGATTGTTCTGGTTTGTTTTATTTAAAATAAATATAATATATATATATATATAAATCTTTGTTAGGGTATTCATTTGGAAATCATTGGTCCAACACTAAATGTATTAGCTCGACAAACAAATGCTACATATAGTGGAATAAGTACTATATTAATAACACGTGGTGCTGGTTATGTCGTTGCAAATATAGTTGGAGGAATAACACAAAATATTGTTAAAGAACATCCTGAAGGTTTATTATCAGTTGCATTTTTGATTGCAGCTATTGGTTAGTTAATATATATTGTATATATTTGTTTTACTAAAATGAAATTTTTTAGTTGTTCTTTCAACACCAACTATTTTCAATTTAATAATTCTTGCAATAGTATTTTTCTTTCAAGGAATTTCTCAAGGAATAACTGATCTTGGTTTGTTTAAAAAAAAACAAAAACAAAAGACGAACTAATATTTTATTTTTTTCGAAATCTAATTTAATTCTAGGTGGAACAAGTTTATTGTTAACAATGTGGGGTGATAATGTTGCTGCTCCACTTAATGTTGTTCATGTAGGTTATGGTTTTGGTGCTGTTTTTGCTAATTTATTTGTTCGACCATATCTTGGTGAAGATATTAAAATAAATGAAACATTAAATAATTCAACGATATTACCTGAAAAAGATAAATCAAATATTCTAATACCATATTCGATAACATCATCACTTTGTTTATTAATATCAATAGGTCATTTCATATTTTCAATACGTGAACATAGAATTCGACGTGAAGCTCTTCGAAATCGTCCAATAAATTATGTATCAGTGTCAACATCAGCTATTAATGAAATAAAAGAAGTTGAAATTAAAAATGTTTCTCAATATTCTCCACAATCATGTGGAAAGGGTTATTTCACATATGGTTTATTAATGTCAATAACTTGGATATTTTATATGTTTTTTGTTAGTGGAAATGATTTAACATTTGGAAAATTTTTTTTTGCATACCTTAAATCATCACAATTTTCTATTACAACATCAGGTGCTGTTTGGGGAATGATTATTTATTGGTCTTCTTATTCGGTTTGTAGTTTTTTTTTTATTTTTAATTTTAAATAAATTTTAATTTCATATTAGGTTGGTCGTTTAATATGTGCAATAACATCGGTATTTATTCCAGTTCATATAGCTATAGGTATATTATGGATTTTTGGATTGGTATTGGCAATAACATGGTTTATATATGTATGGATTATTGGTTTAACAATTACAAGTCTTTTTGTTCTTGGGGCATTTACTGGTTTTATTTTTTCTCCAATATTTCCATTGTCATTTGCATTTATCAATCAACGATTAAATGTAAATCCATTTCTTGTAGGTTTTCTTTTATGTGGTTCAGCATTTGGTGGTATGGCATTTCAAAAAATTGCTGGTAAGTTTTTATTTTTCGTTTTTTCTTTATGAAATAATATTTGTTTTTATAATAATAATAAAAGGTATTGTTTTGGACATCAAAGCAAATCATTTTCCATCATTATTAATGACCTGTGTTGTATTAGCAATTATATTTTTTGCTATGGCATTTATAATTAGTTCAATTCATCAAAGAAAATTAAACTCAAATAAAAATTCTCTTCCAATATCTGATAACAAAGATATTTCAAACAAAAGCGAAGAAGAACGACAAATGGAAGCATATTTAACAAAAGATGAACAAGATAAAAATTAATTTCAATGTATTAGACACTTTTTCACTTTATTATCTATTAGATCATAGGAATTCAAATTCAAAAATTATTTCTCCTTACCTTATTAAATAAAATAAAATAAATAACTTCTATATTAGATGAAATAAACAACTAAAACTATAACATTTCAAGTCTTTTTTTGTTTTCATACACTTTAAATATTATTATTCATCATGCTAATCAAATACAATTATATATATTTAATAGATTATGTCAGTATGCTTTTTTTAATATAAGATCAGTTTTTTTCTACCAATATATGATTTTATTAAATATTTATTTGTATCTTGAGTCAAATCATTTAAAAACCTTTATTAACTGCAGTAAATAGGTTATCATGCTTCATGTTTTTTCGAGTTTTGTTTTCAAGAAGCACAAACGCACTTAACTGTTCATAATTCAGCTTGTTTTGAATACTGTGAAATGTTTCGATAAAGTTTCTCTTCCATACCATGATAATTCACAAGAGGTTGTTCAGTTTCTATCAACGAAATCTAGAACTATTTCTATTTATGGCTTTTGAAGAATGCAAAACGAAAGTCCAGATAGATATTAACAGAACATGAGACATGACTTTCAAGTGACATTCCGAACTGTGATATAAACTGTTTTATGAGCATCTTGTTCTCAAATTGGTTTTAAAATATTTGATGCATGAATAGGTGTCTAAGGCTTATCAATGCGTAAGTAAATATTATTTAAACTGACCTTTCGATCAAATGAAGACACTATTAAACAACAGACACAAGAATTATTTACGATTATGACTTCTATTACAGGTTTATTATAAATATGGCTAATAGTTTATTTACGAATATAATTTCTTGATGAGCATACTTGATGATGGAAAATTTTCGATTTGGATAAAATAAGCTTCACACTCTACGCACATTGCATAAAAACTAATTAGGTATTCTTTTGTTTTATTTTGAATAACTAATGAATACTTTTAACTTCTAAATATATATTTATCATGAAAACCATAAAAGCGCTATTTATTCGCTATGTTATCTTGACGAATACATCTACATAGTTCAGAATTCTCGATGAAAATATTCTAAAGTAAAGACTTTTTTGAAGTATTCCTTATGTCTTGAATTTCATGGTCTTTTCATAAAATTGGTGTCATATTCTAGCTTCTCATTAACGTACTCTTAATGGGGCATTCTAAAAATTGATAGGCTTGCAACAGACATTTTCAGACGCACATCTACAGTAAACATTCGAAGTCAGCAATCAGGCGCTCATCGGTGTCCTAATGGGGCGCTGTTGACGGCTAGCCGCTATACTGAACTAAATTCCATTTTCCAAGAAAATCGTCATCTACTATTTACAATCTAGCAAATATACGCTTGACTCGTTGCACTCAATTATTCGATTATTTATGATAGATCTGTCGATTCAATCTTGAAAATAGTATGGCTTTTGATGGAATATCTATCAATAGAGGACTATGCGTGAATGCTTATGAAAATATCAGTTTAGACAAACAACTGATTCCTTAACCACTGATCAAGAGAAATCTAACATCGACGATAGCTGCAAAATAAATTTATGTGCTCGGCTCAGTTTTGATATAAAAACTCTGATTTGATCAAATTTATACACGAAAAAATATGTTATATGCTGAAGCTTCTTCCTGAGGAAAGTGATACGATGAAACTTAGATTAGAGACTCTATTTGTGACAGTTTAGCTCAACAGAAGCCAGATATAGAAAAACAATGATGAGCTGAAAATCTAGCAGCAAAAACCTGATTTGAAGAAAAACCACTTCGGGGTGAAAAGTTACTAATATACTCAACGGTTACCCCGTCATTAGTAACAAAGTGATTAAAATTTGACGGCTAGATTTTTTTTCAGTAAAGTAAGCTGACTTTGAGACTGATGATTCATTCTAAAGTTTGACTAAGAAGCTTCAACGTCGAGAAATTCACATCGGGCATTGGTGTCTCGAAATTGTGTATCTTCATTTGTGACTGAAGTTTCTACAATCCCAAAAATATTTTCGCTCAAATTATTTGGAAAACTCTCTGTTTCCTAAATAATCCCTTCTTTAGTGAACATAAATCGAATGCAAACTTTCGAGAAACTAACTGCAGGTTTAGATTCCTTGACTCCACAAATGTTTGGTCAAGCTTTATAAGAAAAGTCATTGCTTTCATAAAAATCTCGCTGATTTCAAAAAACTTGATGAGACGAGAGTTGGACAAAGAAAACATCTGATTAGTTCACGGTACGGCACAAAGTATTTATTTATAACAGTCGTTGTAAACTTGCATCGAAATATGCAGTCACGTGATCGTACACATGTCTGCAAACATACAAAATATATACACACAAACTCATTTTATTTCAGATGACCATTCCTTCAAAGGAGGGAATAAAGAGCATCTACTTAATTGGCAAAGAAAAAAATTTCGAATTATGCTCTGTATTAGAATGGCCATGAGGTCATATAGGAGAAAATCGCGATTTTTAATGTATTCTTTTCAGCATTTTTGAAGTATGAATCTTTGAAAATAAGTTTAATTTATTCTGTTGTTACTTGTTCAATGCTGATTAGACAAAACAGGTTTTGACTAAATAAGATACATGATACATTAAATGAAATTAATAATATTTTTTTTGTATTTCAATTTCTAATAGTGCAAATGATTGCGACGACAGTGACTTTGATGATAACAATTCCTTGAATTATTATGTTAATCATGTAAGTGATATCCACGATTACTCAATTGTCAATAAAAATTCTCGCAACACGAACGAAATATTATCGTGAAAATGATGGACTACGCTTCATGTTTGTGCTGCTTCATTTAAGCAATATTAATCGCTGTAAGTGTGGCATTATCATCTCAAGATTAAACTAGTTTTGATTACGGAGAAAATATGCCTTCCAATGGAAAATGGATAACTCTTATTTGTGAACGATTAAACTCAATTTTTTTTTCGAAAACATCCATTTCAAATATAATTAAAAAGAAGTACATAGCTTATATTGAAACCAATCCATGTGCAATCGGTATTAAGTTAGTTAATTTTTTTATGTCAAGCACTGATATTATTCAACATTAATCCTAAATATATAGAAAAACTTAACAATAGGAACACGATTGTCTAGTCTTAATCTTCCCAAATAAAGATGCATTAATTACAGAGAAGCCGGCGAAGAAAAATTTTGCTACATATATCTTAATGAGTTTTAAATATAATTTTATAAGGAAAGATTAGTTGTGAAAAGAGTATCCAGAAGGCAGTTTAATTATTGGGCCTAGCCATATTTCTCAGACTATGATGAAATATACTATGGCGTTTGAAAAGCTATTGGAACAAATAGAAACAATGGCTTTGTTGCATTATTCAACGAAAATAATCAAAGGCGATCCAAAACAAATTACAATATCACAGACCTTTTCCCAATGTTATGACAAGTGTTTATCTGGTTTATCTGAAGAACTAAGTAATAATTTTAGAATGAGATTACAACATGTCAAAATTAATGTAACTTTGAAAGAATTCATTCAGTTTCAACAATAATATACTCCTTATGGCTGACCAAAACAATATATCATTAGTAAAGAACAATTGACAATATGATAATGTATTAAAGTTAACCACAATATTACTCTGAACTCAAGCGTTATTTTTTTTTAATGAATAATGTATTTGCGATAACTATGTTGAACAAAATGATATGAGCTGTTTGGTAGTAACAAATCGTGAAAATAATAAAATTGGTGGTAAAATTTATGGTGATTCAAACGATGTAAAACAAATAACTATAGAAAGGGTGTGGGTGTGGTTTCCTATTCAGCTACACTCTTCTTGAGGCTCCTCTTTTTACAAAGCAACCATTGAATGCTCTTGAGGAAAAATTAGTTATTGCTAAGCGACTTAAAATGATATGGTCTGTTCATCTATCTTTATTGTGAAGTTGACTGAAAATAACGGCTTGTCTATCGACAAACATGTTAACGATGTGTGAGTTTAAAATAAAATGTTTATGTGGGTGTAAGTGTGAGTTTGAATATGTGCGTGAATATAGATGCTGGTGTATGGCTCTATCGGAAGCGAAGTCTCACAATGCTGTTTTTTTAAAGTATAAGTAAAATGGATAAGATATGCTAAGGTCATGAAAATATGGCTCGTTTTTGTTTGTAAGTCAGAAGATTCGAACTTGTAGTGGAATCATTTTGATATTCTGATTGTGCGTTTCATGCTCTTTCACTATTGCTCCTTTGTACATCAACCAGTACGTTCTCATGTGTACAGAAAAATCGCTAAACTTAGCTGATGAATCCGCTGGAAACTAGAGTAGGGTTGAAAGAGATTATGAAATAGATAGATGTATGCACCGTTCACATAGAATCTAAACTACATAATCACCACATCTGGCATCATAGTGAAGATTCGGAAGATGAGTGTGATATTTTATGATCTTTGGTTGAATACTTATATCAAACATTGTTGAATTTATTAAGTAAATGAAACTTGATTAGATCACGCAGCTTCCTATGTATTTAAAAGTATTTCAGATGAAAAAGAGTCGAAAAAAAGCATTCATTTTATTCTAAAAGAATATTTGTATTTTTCATAAATTTTGAAAATTTAATGAAATAGAACTAAAAACAACACTTTATTTCTTTTATTTTTATTTAACATTATCTGAACTTTTAGTAAATCCTGACTAGATAGCTTTATCTGTATACAACAGAAAAAATTATGATTCTTGTTTTTTTTCGAAATCACATTGAGTTATTTACCATCTGATGAGATTCTTAAACAAGACTGAAACACTTGTCATGTCCACCAATACCCTTAGTTTTTTAAATAGAAGAGATGAAGAACTGAGAAGTTATTGATAATGACAATTAAGATTCGAAAATGCTCGATATATTTTCACAACTGTCAAGCTAGACGAATATTTTATATAAGGGTTCATTGGACCAATGTTCAATAGAAGTTAACGATGTTCTACA